TCTCTGTGGGTCTAGAAGGCCGCGATACAGTTCTTTTTAAATCTGTTAAACGTGATATTCGTCATCAGGAGCTCGAGTTGTACTAGTCCTATTACTCTCAAACTGTTAGGATAAAGTCGGTGTAAACTCTGGTACACTTTCAAAAGAATCACCCCATAACGTTGACGAATTTGACCATAACTTTTTCCTCGCAAGGTCCTACCGTTGGCTATACCATAGTTTTCAAAACCGTTATAATGATAACTAGGATCATTGCTTGTATTTTTCTGGTACAGTAGAGATGAAGACTTAGCAAGTCTAATATACCAAAAGATAGCTCTTCTCTAGAACTACAATTCTGTGTGTCGTTTGGGCCCCATGGCTTTCGACCAAATTAGCTATGTGCAGGATAACTGTTTCTACTCAGTAAATTATTTTTAAGGTGATAAAAGTAAAACAAAAGAATGAATGAAACGGCCAACGTTTTAAAATGACAGCTTTTCCACTGGTTTCTTAACGGTCTCGAAAATTACTGTTAGTAGCATGGTAACTGACAGCCATCTAACTGAGACTGTTATTTTACATCTGCCGATACACAGTTAAATGGTTGTCTTTCGGCTGCTAATAATAGCCAAGGTGACTCTAAACTGTCGGTTATTTAACCACTAAATAGCTGTTAACCGTCGGTGTTTTGGCTGTCATCAACAGCCAAGTCACAGACAATAAGGTGTATGATAACTGGCAGTTAAAAGTTATTTGTCTATCAAACGCCTGTTTTCTGACATACATGTAATGGATATTGCACAGGCTATTAAATGTCAGTTCTACTAGATCTCAATACCTCTTCGTTTTGATTTAAGTGTCATTCTTCTAAAATACAAATGGAAATAAATCTGTTTCTTTTTAACTTAAAATTGAACGCTTTTAAAACAATTTATTAAAAGTTTTTGATTCTGATTTAACATTTTAACATATTTATTTATTTATAAAAATTATATCTGACAAGAAAAATTAATTATTTTTACGTTGTCCACCATGCAAATAATCCTAAACCCTGTTCACTAATCGAGCCTATAATTGAATAGGGTGCCTTCTTTTCAATTTGTTCTAGATCAATTGCTGAAGATGTTGTTGGCGCACCGGCATTAGGTAATTCTTTTGGTGCTGTATCTTCGAATATTTCTTGAACAACACGAAATCTTTAAACGATAAAAAGATAAATAAAAAATACAAGCATATTTTCTTTCTATTGTTGTTATAAAACTTGCTTACCGAATTTCTTCTCCAATATCCATAAACATATTGTGTTTTTCATCTTCATTGGTATATTCCCATGCCCATAATTGTTCAGCTTCTGTAAATCGAGATGGATGCTGAAGTTTTGTAGACGGTATTAATATATCATCGAAAAATCCTAGAAAATAAATGCAATAGGCAAACGAAAAATAATATACAAGAAAAAAAAATCGAATATTTTAAATTAGTATATCTGTTATTCGGCAGTATGATTATCCAACAAATGATGTGTTTATTTCGTTTATTACCTAATGTCACAGAAATACCATCTTTACTTGACGATCGAATTTTTCCTATAAAAATGAAAGAAAAAATAAGAGATCAAAGTGTTTATAAATATTATATCATTGTTTCTCACCAACAAGTATTTCATCAATATTTGGACGAAAAACAACATAACGAAATTTTACTTTTGTATGAAAATTGGCATCACCCGGTAATAGAATGCAATCACCAATTGATAATATATCATATAAACATATACACAGACCAAGTTCTTGATAAACAGTATTCGCTAATTTTTTATCAATTTCATCTGATACAATATGTGACAATTCTTGATTGAAAAAACACGGTGCGATACTCACCGTATCTTCTAATGTTGCTACTACAAACATTTTCTACAATTGACAAGTATTTAGAACACTACAGTTCAGTATTCAACATTAGAAACGTCAACTTCTAAAGACGACATTAAGGTACTTAATCAATATAACATCACTTCAAACAGTATAAAACTTTTTTACTAGGAAAAAAACAAGAAAAACACGTATTTTATATGCCAGAAAAAGATCATAAGACATTTTCAATACAATAAGTACTAAAATTGAAAATATCCTAAGAATCTTTATGTGTTGAAAATTTATCGGCTCTTTTCGCAGTACGCTGCGCCGATGTTGCTGTTGATGATGAAGATGATGATGGTGCGGCGCTCATAGATGGCAGTGACGAAGATAAATCAGTTGTTGAATGCTGTTGCTGTTTTGATGACACATCTATTGCTGGCGTTGCAGACAACTCAGTTCGATCATTGGTATGCGTGAGAAAACCTTGACGATCTTTCGAATGTAAATTATTGTAAATAGCTAATGCCTGTAAGATAAACACAACAATCGTACACCAAAAAAATTGATAATTTTGTTTTCCGACTTACACTTGCTATCATAGAACTCATATCACCGGTATTAGCAGGCAATAATATTGTATTATCTGAAAGAACATGAAACAAATTATAACGCTGGAAGAATTTGGTTTATATCACTTACTTGTTCGAGCTAAATTTCCAAAAGCATGCACATATTGTTCAGCAATTTGTAAAGATGCAGCATTACGTCCTTCCTAAAAAAAATTAAAAGTTAACAATATATACGTATATATTTCTCATACTTTACCTCCGTTTCCAACTGATCAGAAATGGTTTTTAACGCTTGTGCACGCGCATTTGCTCTTGTTTTAATTGCTTCTGCTTCACCAACTGCCGAATTTATTTGCTCCAATTTTACTGCTTCTGATGCCAAGATCACGGCTTGTTTAGTACCTTCAGCTTTATTTATTTGGGATTCACGAATACCTTCGGATTCAAGTATAGACGCTCGTTTTCGACGCTAAGTAGAAGAAAGAAGTAATTATGTCTAACATGAGATTTTTCTTTTAGCAAATACTGTACTTACTTCAGCTTCCACTTGCATTTGCATTGCCTCTTGTACTTTTGGTGGTAAACGAATGTCTCGTATTTCATATCTCAAGCAGACAATCCCCCATGCTTTTGCTGCCTTATTAATTGCCTCTGAAAAAGTGTAAATAAACAAATATTATTTTCAAAATTAACAGCATTGCAAGAAAAAACGTTTTATTTACCAACAATGCCAACATTTAATAATTCTCTTTCTCTAAATAATGTGTCTAATGTAATTTTTCCTATTTCAGAACGCATTGTTGTTTGAGCTAACTGTGTCACAGCGAATTCGGCATCTTCAACACCGTAACTGGCCTATTCATAGAAACAAACAATTTTCTTCTCAAAAAGAAATTTAAATACGATTATACAATTTTACCAAATATGGTTCGAATACTTTGAGATAGAGAACACCATCAATATTCAATGTAACATTGTCTAACACAAAGAAAATGTGACTTTGAATGTTTTTTTAAACAAGGACTGTCATATATATATACCTTTTGAAATAGCTGTTTGTGATGGAATCTCAATTGCAATTTCTTTTAGACTCTGTACATACCGTATACTATCGATAATAGGTAAAATAATGTTTAAACCCTAGAAATGTTGAAAACGTCCATATTCATTTGAACATTTTGTACGATTATGAGAAGACTTACGGGTTCCAATGTTTTATAAAATTTTCCCATACGTTCTACGACCCATGCTTCTTGTTGAGGAACAAATAAGACAACTGTATTGAATGGTAAACGGCTACGAAAACGTAATTGTTGTTCATTTGATTGAATAAGTCGTTGAAAAAGACGACGCTATAAAGGAATAAGTAACAATGATAACACATACACAAAAATACTTTCACCATAAATAGCTACTGATATGATTGGACCCAACGTCCGATTCAGAACAAATGACATTCTAAATACTTTTTTATCTAAGAACAAACATGTCGATAAACAATAAGAATTATAAATTCAAGTAAGAAGTACAAAACTCCAACGAAATGCATTTTTTAGTGAAGTTAACTGCTACACTGATTTACCGAGCTTTCGACCTGTTTATTCTTCGGTCATTCCACTCCACAATCTACTCAATAAAAATTATATTTTCTGGAATAAAAACAACATGATGCAATGCAGAAGTATCATTAACCATTACAATTTGTTTCATCATATTTCTTAAAAAATGCGAGATAGTGAATATCGATATGTCAAAAGGGAAAAGCAACGATCAGAATTTACCTCAATGCATAGTAATTCTGTAAATTGTTCATTTAGCTCATCTGTCGTCGCAACGACATGTCGTCTGTGAATTGATCATTTGTTTCTTGCCTCTCCCACTCTGGTTGCAAGAAGAAATAAAACGTTATGAGAAAATAATTTTTCACGCAAGGAGCCTGTTAACGGTTTCTTTTTCAGAGATTTTATTTTAAATCGGAGATTGACTGCATACCAATAAGGAACCATTAGTTAAATGTTAAACTAATTAGCCATGTTTTCAAAAATCAAATCCATTGCAAGAAATATATGATGACTCTGTTCAGAGTGAATATTTAACAAGATACAAAGAGCTATAGCGTAGAAACAATTATGTAAGAACGAGGCTTTAATTTCTTTCGTTGTTATATTTTCATTACCGTACACAAAAGAAAAACTTAATAAAAAATAGCATAAAAAAAAATTTGTTCTATATCAATATCTGACACTTTATCTCTGAATAACAAAATAAAAAAAATCGTCCTTTGGACATTATTAATGGAATGTCTGTCTGCATCAATACATAAAAACTTCATGATACAAATAGTTGTCGTTTGGATACACCTAGAAAAGACAACTTCAAATTTAGTATATTGAAGTAAGTGAAAAAGTGTACGTACAATCCAAATGATCGTTTTCTCGTTGCTGCTGTTGTTCAGCCTGCTGTTGCTGTTCAAAATTTGTTTCTGTCATATTGAACGGATGTCTTGTATGACGTCGTCGTGTCACAGCTAAACGAGGTAAATTTTGAGGATTCGTTGGCAATGGTTCTTTGACGAAATATATTGAGTTTAATAGCTAAATGAACACAAAAAATGAGGTTTAGGTCATACACATCAGCTAAAAAACAGCCTCTCTTTCTCTCTGTACTTCTTTTGCACTTGAACGATTTCTTGGGTTCATCGTTAACATTGATTTTAATAAAATAATTTCATCTAAATTTGCTGTAGGAAATGTTACACAAAAATCTTGTCCTTTTTTTTGTATTGTATCGTCATGAAATTGAAGAAAATGCTTCAAAGTTTTTGCTTCTGGCCATGTTTCATCATCCGGCTGTCCCAACATTTTATAAATTAAATATATTTGTTCAATTTCATTTTTACTTGGAAATAATATTTGACGATTAATTAATTCGGCAATAACTACACCAGCTGACCATATATCAATTTTTTCTGTATAATGTTTGTCACCTAACAGTAATTCCGGAGAACGATACCATGCTGCTGGTAGACGATGCATTTTTCGACATTGATCGTTTGAATGAATTGATATTCCAAAATCAGCCAATTTAACAATACCATACTCATTTATTAGAATATTGGCAGGTTTAATATCCTAAATGAACAACGAAGAGGTGAATATCACCAGAGAATAGAATCTGAATCGCCATAGGCTCATCAATTGATAAAGTATTCTAATTAGTAACAAAAATACCTACCTGATGTATAATTTCTGCTTCATGAATATATTCAATGCCTTTCAAAATCATCTGACTAAATGATTTAATGTCTGAATGAGAAAAATGATTATCATGACAAGCAATTAATCGCTAAAATATACAACAAAACAAATGGTTTGATAATCATGATATTTTTTTCTTACCGCTAAATCAGCTTCCATAAATTCCAGCACTAGTACAGCAATTTCAGAATCATTCGTCTGAAACGAATGCAATAACTAAAACAACATAAATTTTTGCAATGAAATAAAAATAAAGAGTGTGAAAAAAAACCCATTACTTTAATAACATTTGAATGATTCAATTTTTTCAACATTGCGATTTCATTTTCGGCTGCAGGCTTGGCCCAAAGTTCATATTCCCCATGACGTCCAATTTTGATCTACAAGATTGATTTCAAAGAACAGATTGTTAGATGAAATTATGATGTATCTAACAGATATACCTTTTTCAGTGCGACGACTTCATTGGTAGTACGATCGTAGGCTCTGTACACACCAACTAACTAAGGAATAAACATTAACCTTACTTTTTATACTTTTACTAGATTATACTAGAAGATAAACTCAATTTGTCTCGTTATTCTTACAAAAATCTCCGAATCTACTATGTTTATGATTAAAAAATGCGAATTTTCCCCTTAACGCCTCGTCTTTGTAAGAGAAGGTGGAGTTTCTTTTTATGTGAGGTGAAGACTTTTTAAGTTCTATTGCCAAATGCTCCATAACAGTACCGAACAGTAAAAGTCACAAATATTTCAGGAGTTTTTTTCCGTCTGTTCGATTTTGGTTGCTTACCGAATCTTCGACGATCACTCCATCGATTTTATATTTAGAGTAGCCGTCATTCATTTTTATAAGAAATAAAGTATGAAAAATGAGATTGTAAGAGGAAAGTAATTTATCTGTCTAAAGAATATATCTAATTTGACAGATGCTGCTGTACCACATCGCTACAGAAAAGTTAATCGATCGTGAGGTAAAACATGCTGCCAATCCTGTCGCTCAACATGTTACTGAGTAGTTTTGTCGTACGAACGTACATAGATACAGATTAATATGCAAAATCATCTATAATTTCAACTGTTTCACTTCACCTTATATCCAAAAGAACCAGTGTGTACTTCACAGGTCGTGACATCTGCGATAACTGTCGAACAGTTCATACAAGGTGAAATTTCTGATAAAAAGTAAAAGAGTGCTTTTACGGATGAATTAGAAATAGCTATTTCATTTCAGTTTTATTTTCAGGTTTATGAAATCGTCTTAATATTTTTCACCATTACGAACCGCCACTAGCCTTTTCCATTAACCAACGAATGAATAGCTAAACAGAAAAAAATCAAAATTAGAATTAAAAAATGACTGTCTACAGTTATGAAGTGATGGTTCACTATTTATGATTACGAAATTGATTAGGTTTTTTCCCGAACTAGAGTAGATAATGGATAAAACCAATTATAGTCACATTTTGCTTTTACACATTCAATTAGTATTAGCATGATTCTGATATACAACGTTTTTGTCTTGAAAAACTCTTAGGATCAATATACATCACTCGTGATTCGAAATTTTCAACGTGATGGTATGATAAAATCCTAAAGCAAATCAATTTCCCTTCTGATCGTGCTCTACCATCACCTGAATTTTGTTGTAGGCTCAAATGATCAATCATTCTCTACAGTCTCCGAGTTCTTCTTCCCCAATTCACATAAATAATTCCAACAGTGGTCAATTTGTAAACTCAAACTCTTACAATCTGTACGCAAACACTAACTATAACAACACAATCGGGAGTGTACCGATTTCAAACGGTATCAACATATCATCGAACAGTAGTATAATGCAAGGGGAAGAAAATACTCCCAATAATAGCAACATATTTAATCCAACAAGTAGTGATACAACAACATCAACAACGATAAATTCAATTCCAGTAACTCTTCAGCAACAGTCAATAGAATTACAGAACAAAACTATCATACAACGACAACTTGTTTTACTGTTACATGCACATAAATGTTCACAACGTGAAAAACAAGGTCAGAATGGTGAACAACGTCAGACCACTTGTAAATTACCCCACTGTAGCACAATGAAAAATGTTTTACAACATATGGCAAAATGTGAAAATATCAAAAACTGTACAGGTTAGTTTTCTTATAAGTAATCTGTTAACTTGAACTACATTTTTAATATTGCTTTAGAAAGAAGTCTGAGAAAATATTTATTGCAACTTTCTATTTTTAGTTAATCATTGCATGTCTTCACGTCAGATAATTTTACATTGGAAAAACTGCAGTAATCAGCAATGTGCAATATGTCAACCATTAAAGTATCCAAAAATAAATCAGAGTAAGTCCAATAATATAGGTAGTAGTATGCTTACTTTTGCTGCCTTTTCTTCTAGGCAAAGAATGGCAACAACAAGTGACGCAAGATATGAGAAATCATCTGGCAAGAAAAATTATTTCAGCATTAATTCCTGCTGCATCTGAGACAAATTCACTTAAAGATAAACAATTCAATAATGTAGCAAGCTATGCTCAAAAATTAGAAAATGATACATTTGAAATAGCGAATAACCAAGAAGAATATTTTCATAAATTAGCAGAAAAAATTTATAATATTCAAAAAGAACTTGAAGATCGAAGAGTAAAAAAACAACAAATAATGCAAACATCAATTAGCACATGCACATCTATTGATAAATCAGCCGGTGAACATGGACCACCCAATCGTATTGCACCACAATCGGAAATTCCGTCGTTTACATCGTCCGTTTCATCATCATCAAATCAAGCTGGTTTTCTACAACAGATAAAAACTGAACCGGTATTAACATTTAATAATAATAGTGTACGCCCGTTTCATAACAACAGCAACAATTATTCACCGTCTGATAACATGAATATGATGACAACGCCATCGTCAACCACCGACATGGTAGTTGATAATCAAAATAATCGACATCTAAACGAAACATCAACATTTTCGAACGATCCATTACAGTCATTACATGTCAAAATTGAACCAACATTGACGGAAGGATATGTAAGGCGGTATTCTTGTGCTATTTTACCACTTACTCTGATCTGTTTATTTGTTCTAGTCAATCATGACCATTAAAAAGGAAGAAGATAATAGCAACAATAACTCTATCACATCCAAATTACCTTCACCATCAATAAAGTCAGTAGCAGTTACAGACACAACAGAAGATGTAAAACCAAAGCTACCTCAGATCGATTCAACAAGTAAACAATTACCGAAATGCCCCGTTCAATTTACACAAGAAGAATTGCGCTCAAAACTTGAACCTGTTATCCATAAAATGTTACTATCTGAAGATTCACATCCGTTTAGACAACCGGTTGATCCCGTAGCACTCAATATCCTGGTAAATAAAAGAGATAAACAGTAATTCTTCAACTTCATTATGATTTTGATTGTAGGACTATCCGAACATCATTAAACATCCGATGGATATCTCCACCATTAATAACAAATTATTGACTGGCGAATATCAGAACCCGTTGCAGTTTGTTGATGATATGTGGCTCATGTTTAATAATGCATGGTTGTACAATAAAAAGTCGACAAAAATTCATAAGATGGGGTCAAAAGTAAGTAGAACTAACTAAGGCACGTGGCTTCTCGTGATTAACCGTACTATGGTATCCATTCTGAAAGCGATCCAATTATAGCCACTCAGTATAGCAAAGAATGTATTATTCCTTTCTATGTTGGACAGCATGACATGCCGCTTCCAACTCCGGGCATCGAAACTGACACTTGTCAGTACACTGTGCCGATAACGGTAGCTACAAGGCGATGTATTCTTTTCTTCTTCCTATTCTTTTCTGTGTTTCCGTATATTTCTTAGACTCTGACTGTCAATGTTTTTAGCTCTCTGAGGTGTTCATGGATGCTGTTGATCCGGTTATGCAGTCGATGGGCTATTGCTGTGGACGACAGTATGTTTTTCTACCACAAGTGATGTTCTGTTATGGAAATCAGTTGTGTTGTCAAATACCACGTGATGGTGTCTATTACTATTACAACAATCCAGAACCATCAAGAACAAATCTGTCTGGTGACAAATATACGTTTTGTAACAAATGTTTCGATGCAGTCAAAGGTGAAATGATCTGTGTGGGTGATGATCCAGCTCAGCAGTTGACTGAATTACGAAAATGTGATTTTATACCGGCGAAAAACGATGCACAAGAACCGGAGATCATAGTCGACTGTATTGTTTGTTCAAGAAGATGGCATCAAATTTGTGCATTGCATCTTGATCAAGTGTGGCCAGAAGGTTTTGTATGTGAAACGTGTATTAAAAGTTACAACATTAAGCGAAAAGAAAACCGGTATGTGGCACATAAATTGACTATGACTGATTTGGCTCATAAATTAGAACAACGAGTAAATGATTTTCTGAAAACGGAATGTGCCGATGCTGGACGAGTGACGATTCGAATTCTGGCTGCTTCGGACAAGGTGTGTGAGGTGAAACCAAGATTGAAGAAGTATTGTCAGAATCATGTGCCAGATGGTTATCCGTATCGAACAAAAGCAATATTTGCATTTCAAGAAATTGAGGGTGTTGATGTTGTTTTGTTTGGTATGCATGTACAAGAATATGATGGAAAATGTCAAGAGCCGAATACTAGGTCTGTATAATGGAATTGTGAATTCATAGTCGGTCATCTTTCAAATGCTTTTCTGAACGGCAGCGTCGCAATATTTTTATATTTTCTGTAAAAGCAAAATTGTGCAGTTACAATATTTCACTTATATCTAATATATTTCTGTTTGTTTCAGGCGTGTGTACGTGTCCTATCTGGATTCTGTTCACTTTTTTCGTCCAAAGAAATATCGTACTGATGTTTACCATGAAATATTGATTGGCTATTTGAAGTATGCTAAACAACTGGGCTATGTTTATGCACATATTTGGGCGTGTCCACCGAGTGAAGGAGATGATTACATATTTCACTGTCATCCTGCAGAACAGAGAGTGCCGAAACCGAAACGGTTACAAGAATGGTATAAAAAGATGTTAGATCGAGCTATTTTAGAGCATGTTGTGATTGATTATAAGGTAAGATACAATATGAGAAAAGATCATGACTATATTTCACACTGTATCAAAAACCCCTGTTTCAGGATATAATGAAAGACTGTACGGATAACCAAGTTCAATTAGTAACTAATATTCCCTATTTCGAAGGCGATTTTTGGTCAAATATTATTGAAGAAAGTATCAAAGGTAAATAAGACATCTGTTCTTTATTTTTAAAAATACAGGCTGAATTTGATCGATAGAATGTACTAATAAGTCTTACAAACAAAAGTATACTTGAGCACGTAAATCCTAAAAAAATCGTTGTAGTAATTCTATTATAAAGATATTTGATCGAATTAAGGAGTTGTCGTTTAATATATGATTATTCTAATTCTACTAGAACTTGATCAAGAAGAAGAACAACGTAGAAAAATTGAAGAAGTCGAAGCAGCAAGAGCTTCTGAAGATTTTTGTTTAGATGATCCGATTGAACCGGAAGACCCGACAGAGGTTAGTATTAATTTCGTCACTACGTGTTTACTATCAAAACGTATATTTTTTTTTCTTATCTTAGATATCTGATAAACGCAAGTTGGCCAATACGCATAAGAAGAAAAGTCTAAAGAAAGCAGCTAGTCAACGAAAAACAGCTAAAAAGCAGATGTCCAATGTTTCTGATTTATTGTTAAAAATATTTTCTACAATGGAAAAACACAAAGAAGTAGGTCTTGATTCTCTGCCTTCTCTTCAGTGTCTTATTCTATACATTTATTTTCAGGCATTTTTTGTTATTCGGTTACGTAGTCCACTCGCCACTCATCCTCCTGTTAACGATACTGACGCTCTAATACAGTGTGATCTGATGGATACACGAGATTCATTTCTAAATTTTGCACGTGATAAACACCACGAATTTTCAACGTTAAGACGAGCGAAATTTTCAACAATGGCTATTTTGTATGAACTCCATTCATCCACAACGGACAAATTCACTTATAATTGTGATCAATGTCGTCAACCGTGCGATGCTCGATACCACTGTACGGTATGCGAAGACTATGATTTATGTTTGAAATGCTATCAAACTGTTAAGCACGAACATAAAATGGATCGTTCAGACGACGTTAATCATAATGAAGAACAAAATAATGGAAAATCAGATGGGAGCGGCGATAAATCACCGGCCAATACTCAGTTACAGCGTCACCAAACTATGCAACGTTGTATTGAAGCCATTTTGCACGCTGTTAATTGTCGAAATGCGAATTGCATTAATCGTAGTTGTTTACGTTATAAACGTATCATTCAACACACGAAAGATTGTAAAATAAAAAGTGCACCGTGTACTGCATGTAAACATATCATTTTTGTCTGCTGGTATCATGCAAAAAGTTGTAATGAACAAAATTGCCAAGTACGTCGTCTTAGTGGTAAACGAGTTCAACAATAAATGCTATTTTCGTTTATTTTAGGTGCCATTTTGTACAAATCTGAAAGCAAAAATTCAAAAACAACGTGCTACAAATCACCAAATGGATCGTCGACGAATGTATGCAATGCGAGCTGGTAAGGATTTAATTCAAAATATAGTTTTACGTGATCGAGTGATTAAATATGAAACCTGTAATAGCCTCTTTACATTTTGAACTTTGTGTCAATTATACAGAGTCTAAAATTGATATCACTAATTTCTTATCTATTATATTTTGTTTTCCAGGAGCTTCTGGACCATCGCCGTTGAATCAACAGCATACTGATCCGGTTAACACATTTCATCAGTCGGTGGGTTCTCCTTGTTCGGGTAAGCCAACGCCCATGATTATTCCATCATCGCCGTCCACTATGATGTCAAGTAATCGTCTTCAACCACACGGAGTTCCCATGCCTGCTCAACAACACGCTTGCATGAACGGCGGTAAAGGTAATCCAATGCCGACGATGAATCAGCCGTGGGTACAGCAGTCACCTCGTTCGCATCCAATTAATATTAATACAATCCAAGCAGGCATGATGAATAATAATATGAACAACAATAATAATTCTATCCGACTTGTAAATGGATCATTGATGGGACAACCGGGAAACAATATGATGCTAAGAGGTACACCTCAACAACATCAATTTATGTATTCACACACAGGTACGTTGATATCGATATAATTTAAAATGAATATTTTGCTCACTCAGACAAATTTTATTCAAAACTTTTTTTCCATTTAGTCCAAGATTTGAGAGAATAACTTTGTATTATAGAACTTTCTAATTTGTTTCGTTTTAGTACCTCCATCTGTAAACTATCCGCAGTCGATGGGCGTGCAATCTACAGGGAAACCAACGATGCCTACCACTATGTTTATTCCCTCAACTGTAAATCGTTCACAACAGCAACAAACAATGCCTCTTACTGCACAACAAATCGCTTATATGAGTCAACAACAGCAACAACGTCTACAACAACAATCTTCGTCGAACCCTCATTCTTATTCAATGAATATGCATGCACAAAGTGGCAAGCCTACAGCAATGCTGAACGCATATAGTAATATACCGAGTACCATGATTCGAAACAATAGTTCATCTTCCGTTAATATGAACAATAGCGGTTCTCAACAACAGCTGAATCAGTCAATGGTCGATTCAGAAATGTTAAATGTGACTAAAAGTAATACGATAGATATGTCTAGTATCGATGATGATAGTGTTGAGCTAAGGGCTGAACTTCGTAATACTCCTACTATATCTAATAATAGTATTGACAGTATAGACATAAACCAAAACCAACAACAGATGTTTCAACCGCCCATACCATCATCACGTAGTCGTCCACCACAACAAATAAATTACATAAACACACCATCCAACCATTCATGGATACAATCGCCAAATTCATATCCTCAACAATATTCAAATATGCCACCAGGCTCTGTGCCTCCATCGTACAATACTGTTGTAGCTGGACGGAGTTATTCTCACATGATAAATCAACAGCAAAATTCATCCTCTCCATCACATCTACAACAGCAGCAATATTTATCGTCTCAAATTCAGCAGAGACAAGCACGTTTAATGCCATCGTATATGTCGCAACCTTCGCCTATGACTATAGAACATCAACAACAACCACAAGGTATTGTAACGCCACCACCACTACCGACATCTGTGGCACCAAGATGAATTGTCTCGCTTTTTTCATCTATTTTTGAAGCACTTTCTGTGTTTTTGTCATTTTTTTGCATTTTTTTTTGCATATATTTATGCATTTTTTCGGCTCCTCTCATAAATATTTTGATCTTATTTTTCTTTTTTGTATTGGATGTTCAAAACATCTTTCACTCTCTCTCTATTTTCTATAACGTGTTTTATTTTCTTTTTTTATGGAAACCGTCTGTTCCCAATACCATTGAATAATGAATAACAAACAAACTCTTGCACTATTCGTTTTATTTATACATAGATGTTGTCAGGTCGTTTTCTTATTTCCACTCGTGCTAGCTAGTTTATAGAGCCATAAATTTTTTTTTATTAACGGTTGTTTGGTTTTTCTTTTTTTTGTATATACGTTTCATGTAAATATACTTTTTTTCATTGAAAAAAAGAAAATTTAATTTGGATTCGTGTGGGTATCAAGTCAGTTAAGCACAGCACAAAAACGTGTCTCAACTGAAATTTCGTTATTTTTAGGTAATAGAAGTCGAAGAGTGTGTACATGTGTAATGAGCGATAAATTTTGCCAATATATACATTTATCTTATTTTTGTTTTTCTCGTCTCGTAATATGTATTGTAGCTTGTTTTGCTTCATTTTTGTTTGCTCGATAGCATTACAAGTGTTTTTTTTATCTCTCTTTAATGGGAAATGAGTCATTTGCTTTTTTTTGTTTCATTTTTTTTTCAACAATAAGAATTTATTTAGAAACATTGACTCTTTTTTTTTCTTTCTTCGTTTTTCTTTTTTCTATGAAAATAATAAATACATATAGGGCAAAGAGTCGACGACTAACACTGCAATATACATATGTTGAATAAAAATTATTATAAACAGTGCAATGAAAAGCTTATTTCATTTATCGTATAAAGTATCTATAAACACAAATTGATATCATTAAAAGTTTATCTTAACTAAAACATAATCTTAAGAACAAAATGTACATATCGACATTTTTTTCTTGTTCAGAGAAAATTTTGCTTTACTTTAAAATAAATACAGACTTATAATTAAAAAAAATTTATCATTTGTGTGGTGACAATTTATTTAAACCTTTCACATTGGTCACATTTATACTGAAAAATAGTGCTATTGATTCATCGTTTAAATTGTATACTTTGGGCATCCATGTTGTGGCAGCGAAGAATACAACGAGAAATCCAATTATATTCATAACTATACCCGCTTTCATCTGAAAAGGAGACATAAAATTTATAAATGAATAGTGAAAAGATTCATTATTGTCTTACCATATCCCAAACACGAAGCTCACCACTGGCAAAGACAATTGCGTTCGGTGGTGTAGCTAAAATTAAACAAAGAATTAGTTTTTAATTAAAAAAAGTCTTCAATCGTTTACCAATTGGAAACATAAATGCTAGTGATACTGCTAATGTGCATGGTAAAATTAGATAAGCCGGATGCATGTGAGCCGAACGAGCCTGAATAAATTAGAGAAATGAATTTTAATGGAAGAATATACATCGATAACATGAAATACATACTACACTATCCAATACTGGAAAAAATATGCTAGCTTGAATGAATAACGTAAAATTAATTGCTAAGAATGAAAATTCTCTTCTTTTTTTATTTTTACCTGTACTTAAATTTGATGTTACTTCTGTGAATAGACCACTAATGATAATAACAGCTAGGATAACTGCAGCCATAGGAGCAGCACTGATAAAACTTAAAACTTCAGCCATCGATTCAGACAATTTCGAAACCTTAATAAAAATTTGTTTAGATAAATAAGATTGAGAGAAGTTTAATTTTATGTTCCTTTTTTATTAGTGACAAATTTATAACTTACTTGAAACGCTTCTGCTATTGCCAAACCTTAACAAATAAAGTTACTTTATACTTAGATGCTGTTGTTCCAAATTAAACAGAAATTGGTTACCGGCTCCTAAGAGTATCAATGCTCCCCATGGCATATTTTTTGCTAAATCTGTCCATTTAATAATTGGTTGATAGTGCCAGTCTTCTGAAGAAAAAATGGCATTACTATATTTGACTTTACGCTTATTAAGTCAAACTTTTGAATGGATTTTTGTTTGGTAAAATCATTGGTAATACACCAATAAATAATGCCACTGTTCCATCTGATATATATCTTGAAAAAATAATATTAACTATATAGAAAATCAACGAAAAAGAGTAAATATACTTTGAACGAAATATAATATCCCATCCTGGTGTTGAATCGAAATCTTTTGTAACCCATAATAGAACTAACATAACAAAAATAACTGCTACTGAACATTCACTCCAACTAAAATAGTGATATGATACTATTAATTGGAAACTAGATATATTAAACATATTTTATACTTACCTTGGTGTTCCTAAATCCTTGTACTGTTGTCGTAGCATATTATGAAGATCATTTTGTGCTTCACGAAGCTCATTAGTTATCCGCCACTGAAATAATCTAATATCAAAAAATATAATTCGTATAATGATTGATAAAGACAAATCCTACGTACTCTTTAGTATTGAATAGTAATTGCAGCCACATCCAACAAAATACTAACATTATCACGGCAGCTGGTAATGCAAATGAAAGAAAATTTTGAAATGTAATTTTAAAATCTGTCCCACTATATCGGCTAAATACCAATCGAAGTTAAACCAAAGAAATAAATCAAATAGATAATTAATAATGACTTACTCATCCGCAAATCCTTTCACAAGTACATTTGGAGCTGTTCCCACTAGACTTGATAAACCACCAATTGTAGAGGAATAAGCAACAGACAATAAAAACCCTGAATTTTATTGATAAATTAATCAATAATAAATAAATTTTTAGAGTTAAATACAGATAAAAGCATACCTTTTTTCAACTGTGCATACTTCTTTTCATGATCTAAAGACGCTAATCTTTTTCTTGTTCTAAAAAATGGTAGTTTTCTGTGTACAACTGGAATTACACCATTTCTATAAATTAAATAGAATTAAGTTGTTTCCGTTAATCTTGCTGTTATGACTAACTTACGAATTTTCAATGTGACTTGCATCAGCTATAATTTCTTTTGTTAAGTGTTCGCTTGGAATATCTGCTTTTGTTAAATCTAATATCTCTTAATAACCATAATCACAATAGATCTTGAGAATCATTAACATTTAAACTTACCAATAACAGCAGCTGTAGGTTGGCGTATCTCTTTGCTTCTCTCGTGAAACTGTTTATCATGTCTTTCAAGCTCATCGGTTATGGCAATAGCCACTGGTAACATGATGGATGTTGAGGCTGAACTAGAACAACAGTAGTTTGACGTACAGATGAAACGTTTTCAAAAAACAATAGACGGACTTATTTATCCACATTGATAAAAAAGCTGTTACACCCATTATACCAGCCATTGTCCTAGTAAAAAATTGAAAGAAATATAGAAAACAAACATTCATTCAGTAAAAAACTTTTGAAAGAAAACATGCCACTTTGTTGAACTACCAACTAATTTTAAAACAAATAAAGCAATTCGTCGGTGAAGATTAACACTTTCCAGAGCGTACGCTAATGCCATACTACCCAAAAACAGCGTAATAATATCCTAAAACGGTTCTTGTTGATTTCAAATTAAACAGATCTAAAGAGTTTAAGTATCTATTTTACTTTGAAGTATAGTGGAGCAACATCCTTTGCCATTATAATACCGGCCATAGGAAAAAGGGCCAAAGGCAACAGAGAGGTAACAGGAAGTGGCTAAAAGTATATGTAAAACATACAAACAAGCACGACAAATATAAAGAAATATCGCACCATTGCTTCTGTTACCCAATAAACCATTAACATCAAAACAATATAACCACATCTTGCTTGCTAAGAATAAAAACGAAAAATTATTAGTTAGTTTAAACTATATTTATTTAAAGTAATCAGAATTTGTGTGCCACGCTTCATGGACCATCCGAGAAACGCCCAAATTTTAGTCTAAATCTCATGAGAAATCCAACTCTTCGATCTTAAAAAAAAATCCCGTATAGCGGCATTATTAGTCTTAGAGGTCTATATAACAAATAAAATTACGCGATCTGATGGGAATTAGATATTCTCGAAAACAAACCTGCCATAGCGGCGAAAATCGTAAAGATATTCTTTGCCATCTGCAATTGTCTATTCTTATTGCGCAAGTTGGAAATATTATTTTCTACGATTAGACGAAACATCGGATAACAGCAACCGAACTTTATCTTTTTTAATTTCATCCCAAGAATATCAGAAATTTATATGAGAAATAAGAATCGTCAAAGATCGTAAACACTGGCAAACTTATACCATTCATTGTATTAAACAATAATGTCAGAGAAGTGATGTAATGGTATTTACAACGCCTATCATTACTTGAGCAATATAATAGTAAAGATACGTAGAAATCAAATACAACCACAAATGATAATTCGGAGGATCAGCAACCGTCATTACACCAAGGAATGATGATACTGGATGGTCAACAAATAAAACGAAAAATGATATGTGTGAAATGTACACAATTCAAATCAAAGAAGCCCAAACATCAATCGATATGATTCCGATAGTACTACAACAAGCGAATGTAACGAATCTAGCACTAATGAATGTGAAGAATGCCGTCGAATGTATTTTGTTGTCAACAGGGACGCTCACTGCTAATGCTATTAAATCATTCATAATTGAACGTGAAAAACAATGACGTCGGATTCACTAAAAACGATTGTTCACAAGATCAACGACAGTCGATCTTCAATCACAGTCATTCGAAGGTTATAAAACGATGATGAATAAAGCATAAAAAATGAAATTTTGTTTAAAATAGTACCAAAATGGTCATCTTGTAATAATAGTGATAACTAGTCTTAATATTAAAGTCGAACTTTATTTTTTAATTCTATCCCAAGAATATCAGAAAATTTACGTGAAAAATCAAATAGTTATGAGTTACCAAACCGTCACCAACAAACAGGAACTTTAATATTACAAGGATGGAAAACTGAACCGATATTAAATAAATTATGTCAGAAATGAGAATCGTCAAAGATCGTAAACTCTGGCAAACTTATACCATTCATTGTATTGAACAATAATGTCAGAGAAGTGATGTAATGGTATTTACAATACAAATCATTACTTGAGCAATATAAAATATCTGTGACATTTTTAATGATAGTTGGCATTATTAACAACCGAAAACCTGTTTCAAATCTACACGATATATTCCTACAAAGGGACACATTAGACGAAACATTGGATAATAGTAAAACATGAAGGCGCCTGCAAACACTTACAGCCATCCACAACCAACTAGAAACAATTGTACAGACATCAATTTACGAGTAGGTGTCTGTGAGTATCTTCAAGTTTTACTATTACCGATGGAATGTTCAAAAAAGAATCGGATACATCATATAAAATTTATTGTTGCTTTCGACTTAGGAGTTCTACTCTTGTTACAAGAACACTCCCAAACAATGTTTTGGCAACTCTCTGAATAACTAACTCAAACATTATTTCTCAACTTTTACAACCATGCTAAAAGCTACGTATGGATCTTTCGTTTAAAAATGGTTTTAGTCTACACAATAAAAGTCGAGAGAAAAATTTGAAACGGTTCCACTGAAACATTTTAAGATAAAAAATGGTAATCATCTTTTGACACAGACAAAATGGTTCGTGTACTAGCACATACTTACATCGGATTTTGCTACAATTGGGATCGGTATTAGTACTAACGGTGTTATGACGACTACCAATAGCTTCCACCATTGTTTAATCGATGATTTAAAAGACATTGTACTAGACACAATGATGTCTTTTTGTTGTTTCGAGTTTTTCTAGTATGAAATAAATTACAGATATATAGATGGGTATGTTTCAGAAAATTGAAGTGACAAATTATTTTGCTTTGTTTCTTTATTTATAAAGTGCCGACTATTTTGTTGATAAAATGTTTATTTTTGAAACATTTTCTTTCAGAGAAAATAAATTCTCTCTTTTATATAGTCACAATTTATTGAAGTATGATAATAGAATACAATAATAGAAAATGAAAAATCAAAGAAAAACAGATATATTGTTTCAGAAACTGATAGGATAAAGATCACCGAACAACATTTTCAGTTTTGCAGCAAAAAAAAGTATTTTTCACATTTCATAATATTGTTTAACATTTGACGAATAGACAACGTTTACTTTTAATATGATAAATATCCAATATATACAAATTTGTGATATGTTGAAAAAACTACAGCAGTCACAGTTGAAAACTGTAAAGATTTTATCTATTGATCACCTCGTTTTTTAAGTTGAATTCTAGCAGTATTCAATAGCCGATTATTAACAACACTATCTCAAAAAACTCGTCTAGTCAGCGTCAACGCCCATTTTAGCAGTCACACAGATTACTCGTCGGGCTTATCTATTATTTTTGAGATTTGAAGGGTAAGTTTTTTCGAAGAAAAGGTAGTGGTAGAATAAGTATCTGACGTTCTTAGTGCTTACATTATGCTGTCTTCCAAAAATTATGCACCATACTCCTCTCTACTTTGTCCTCTCACTAATTCAAAAATCTTTTTAGAGATGAAAGCTAGCTCGCCCTGCTCCCATAATGGTAAACTATCTAACAAACCGTACCATTCATAGGTCCTTAAAAGAAACCATAATTGAACAAAATAATGAGTAGAATGTCCTTCGGAAAAAGTCCTCAAAGATGACATGAACAAGATGTTTCTCTGACTTTTTTACAAGAAAATATACTTCAATTCAACCAATTGATAACAGTAAAGATGCTGTGAGCAATAAATTTTATTACAGTACTTCGCAAAAGAAGGTGTGTAAGAAGATCTTATTATCTAACACTTATGCTCTCCCAGTGTTTTATATTCACCACTAAAAATTGAATGAATTATGATGTTATCAATCTTCGTATATTGATTTAAACTTCATTATAGAAACCGAAGTATCACACCATCAAGAGACGAGAATTCTCATTACTAACTAGTGCAAGTTAACAATTACACAAATAATCACAACATGGTTAGATTTGAAGTGAAATGTAAGGGAAATTGAATTTTATTGAAATCCTTTTTCATCATTTACTTTTAGCAGTCGATAAAGTTCGTTTTGTTCGTGTATAAATGTATTCAATTTGTTTCAGACAGAGTTTTAAACTTCATGGACTATGCTATGAGTGACTGCAGTCTAGATTTATCGCAAGAGATGTGCCGACATCGTAAAAAGTGAATTTTCGCTATAATTTTACTCTTTTTCTTTATATATGAGATTATTATAAATACATTACCATGATGTGTGTGACTTTTATTAGTGAGAAGATTGGCAAGAAAAACACCATTATCTTTTACAGAAAAGGGCGGGGATCGACAAGAGACAAAATCGGCCTCGTCACAGATCAAGCTCATATTAACTGATCTGATGTAGTTTTTGTCGGCGATTAACCCCATCATATATTCTTTTTCATCAGTATATCCCTGGAAAACTTTTCGCCAACAAAACTTTTCTTTCCGTAAATGAACTTTACTCAAAGTATTTTCGTTATTTCATCTTTTTCGCTTAGAGCAAGCCTCAACTAGAATATACCGTTCGATAAAGAATTTCACCGGCTACAAAATACTAAATACAATATTCAGAGAAAAATGAGACTAACGAGGAAAGGACACCAAGTGATAAATCGCTTCTAGCTTAAAACTTAGCGAACAATAGGTAATCGAGTGTGCTGATTCCGAATACTAACATGAGACGGGCCGCTAGGCCTCCAAAGACTGGATTTCC